TTCGAACTACCTAGTTCGTGCCGCGTGTAGTCGCGCGGCACGGGGTTCGAACCAGCGGGGATTTTAAAATGGTGGCGCCCCGCTTATGCAAATGAAGCCCAGGAAATTCAAATCCCGGGCTTCATTTGCAAGTGCGGTATGCCTACGTTACCCCGCTAGTTCGAACTAGTGGGGTAGTGTAGACATACCCTCTGTCTTCTCTTCCTGGACTAAACAATCCCTCCCCCCCCTTTTTTTTTTCAATTTTGCCTCATTAGGTTATATTTTCTCAATGTTTAATAATTTGTATTGCCCTGCTCTGGACCTTTTCCTATTTGTCCAATCTTTCTTGAAATGTGGCACCCGAACTGGAGACAACACTTTAGTGAAGGCCTAATCAGTGCAGAGGAGAGTGGAAGAATTACTTCTCAAGTCTTGCTTATGACACTACTCGTTAATACATTCCAAGATGATGTTCACTTTTTTTGTTATACTATTGACTCATATTTAGCGTGTGGACAACAATGACCTCATGGTCCCTTTCTTCCTAGGCGCGCATTTCCCATTTTGTACATGTACAATTGATTGTTACTTCCTAACTGGAATACTCTTCATTTGTCCTTACTGAATTTCATTCTACTTTCTTCAGTCCATTTCCCCAGTTCGTCCAGATGATTTTGAATTTTAATTCTATACTACCAAGCACTTGCATCTCCTCCCAGCTTGGCATCATCTGCAAACTTTAAGGTATTCTCTACACTGTTGTCTGAATGTAAGGGGACGGTTGGCTCCTTACTGAAACTCAGTGGGGAGTTTTGGTTGGTTTGCTCCCAGTATCAAAAGGAAAGGGAAGGGTATATGAGAAATCAGGATCCTGAGACCAACAGCCCCCAGGAAGAATGGGAAGTAGGGTTGCCAGGTGTCCAGTTTTCGCCAGGACTGTCCGTTATTTGGATCCCCCATCCGATACCAAAACCACAAAATACCGGACACGTGAAATGTCCGGTATTTCCTGCTTCCCTCGGATGGAAGCCTGGCGGGGACAATTTTCCCCTGCCGCTTCTGGCAGGGGCAGGGGAGTGAGGAGCGTAGGGCCATTTAAAGGCACAGCGTCTTTTTTTTTTTTTTTTTGCTTAATAACGTTCTTCTCCCCCCTTTCTTTTTTTCAACAGAATATTTTTCTGGTGTTTTTTGGGGGGAGGGGGAAGGAGGGTGTTTGATATTTTTTGTTAAACCATCTAGCAAGCCTAATGCAAAGAGGCCAATGCTCCCGGTCAGCCTAATTGCCAGGGCAGGCAGGCAGGCAAATGAGGTGTCTGGGGAAAGTCCCGTCCTCCTTGCCAGCTAAATTTCCTGGGTCAGAATGAGTGGGTCTGAGCTAAGGAGACAACATGTGCCTGATCTGAGCTGGGGGAGAGCCAGGCCAGCCAGAGAGAAATAGAGACACAGTACGCTAGCAGGGCTGCAGCCAGAGATCCTGAGACAGAGCACAGAGCAAATCCATGCTGGGAGCAGGGCTGCTGCCACAGAGCCAGAGGGGCCAGAGGAGCAGCCTAGGAGTGGGAGGCATCGTAGCTGGGGCTGGAGCGTGCTGGAGCTGGGTGCAGTGTTTTTATTAGATGCAGTAGGAAGGGCAGAGCAGAGCCATCCTGTCCTTTGGAGGGTTTGAGATGGTCACCCTGGGCCCTGCATTTTGGGAGGCCTGGTGCTTCAGGGAGACATGGGGCCTGGGTGGTGCAAGGCCAGTGTCAGCATAACCAGCTCTGCCCCCACTTCATGGACCATGGGCCCTCAGAGGCATGGAGGCCAATGGCAGCATAACCAGCGCTGCTCTTCCTTGCCAGCTCCTGGCATTGCTCAGGAGAGGAGGGGTTGGGACTTTGGGGAAGGGGCAGAATTGGGGGTGGGGTGGGATGAAGTGGGGGTACAGGGTAGGGTGGGGCTTGGGGGAAGGGGTGGAATGGGGGTGGAGCAGGGATGGAGAAAGAACAGGAAGCGGCAGGGTGGGGGCGGGGGGTAGGGTGGAGGGGGGTTGTTCTGGGCACCGCAAGCCCCTAGGGAGGGCCCTGGGGCAGATTTACATGACGAATGATAAGTCTTATATGCTGGGCTCTGTTGTTTAAGCAAATACATGGCCACAGTTTGCATTTCTGAACCTGTGGCCCTTCACCAATCTAGGCCCCTCCTGAAACATGACTGTGTTTCTTCAGTTCCAATTACTGTCTACATGGCAATGTTTTGTATAGCTGAGTCATGGAGTTGACTGTGATGTTGTACTGACTTTACTAGATGACTACTTATGACTTCCGTGGGCCTACTGCTGTTTTATACTGGTGTCCCTGAGAGCAGAACCTAATCCTAAATACACGAAAAGCTTCTCTCTCTTTCTCTTTCTGTCTCTTATAATTTTGAGATGTGGGAACCCGAGGAAGCTGAGTTCTATTTAGTGAAGTTTTTTTTTTAACTTTAAATGAATTCCATCTCTTTCAAAATGTAAATGATATTTTGTGTCTTTGCAAGAATAGTTAGACGTATGGTAACAAATCCTCCTATCTAGTGTGTTGTTATTTTGAACCCACAGGTGAGTAAATATTGTAGCATTGACTGTGGTATTGATTCGTTTCTTTGAAGCAAGTAAATAGAATTGGAAAGGTATCTCATTGACAACATAAATGCTCACACCGAAAAAAAAGACAGATACTAAGAGTCCCTGGACAGGCATCATAATAAGAGCTTCTCTACTGCTATTGTTATACAGGGACACATTCTAGGGGATAAGCACACCTTAAAAGTTAAGAAGTCTGCCTTGCACGAAGATGGAATAGTCAAATGACCTGTTTTATCCCTGTGCCTCACCAATAGAACAACAGGGTGTGATTCCAACAGAGTTGGAACTCAGCACCATTATAAAATAAAAGTGTAATGCCATGGGATGAATCGGGCAGGAATATTTCAACCCTCTTTGGTGTGCTGGATGTCCATTTACCATCAATTTCCTTTAGACGGGTTTTAAAAGTTCAGCTCATGTCATTCATTACCTGGAGTTGATACAAACAACCCAAAAGTCTTCTATATGCTGTTAGGCCAACAATTGCAGCAGTGACTAGTGATTTTCTTGGATGGGGAGCTCCAGCTTTTGTTTTTATGAGGAGCACTTGACACCTCGAAGGTGCTTGATTTTCAGTGGATGGGTGCTCAGTTCTTTCCAAAAATCAGACTCCTTTAAGGTGCCTCTACCCCCAAAAAGACACCCCCCAAAAATTGAAGCCCTCTCTTTCCCCTCCACTCTCCCCTAATCATACTGGTTACTGTTAGAAACCTTGGATTTAGGCTTTCTGATTAGAACAAACCCAAGCACAGTGCTGACCATAACAGCCTCAAACTTTGGGTGAGTCTGAATACATATTCAAACTTAAATTGCAGCTTGGGATACCTCTGCTTTTCTATGCATTAGAGAAACAGACATATTCCTAGTAAGGATGTAAAATCCCATTTATATGGTTAACTGGTTAAACATAGTATTAACTGGAGTGGGCGGTAGGCTGCAGACAGGGAGCTGCTCCTGGGTACTAGGTAGCCAGTTAACCAGTTACCCATTCACAACTCTAAATCCTTCACCAGGGGTGACTTGGAGAAAAATCCATGTTGTGTTTCTACAGTTCGCGTAAGGCTTTTCAATTCCTCACTCTCAATATATAGTTGCTCTGCTTTATTTATTTCCCATTTAATTCCCTGGATATTCATTACACCACTATGGAAAATGAATATAATTGATTAATGAAGTCCTTGTTTGCCACCACTACCCATCCATCTATCAGCTCTCACTCTGTATGGATGTATAGCCAAAGGACTCCATTTTTCATCATTCACCAGTTCCCTTCCAGCCTAATAGAAGTCCCCTGCCATGCCAACCCACATAAATGTAGTTAAGACTCAGAGTTTATGTCATTGCTGACCTTATAAATAATTCAAAAGCTTCAGAGGGGTAGCCGCGTTAGACTGTAACTGGAAAAACTTAAAAAACAATGAACAGTCTAGCAGCACCTTAAAGACTAACAAAACATGAAGATGGTATCATGAGCATTCGTGGGTACAATACCATTTCTTCAGATGACGAGTGGCTTCTGATGCGCCCAGGCTGGAGGGTGGGGCCGCGATCGTCGCTCTGGGCCCATCAGAGAGGCAGTACTTATTATTCTGTGCTCTTTTTTTTTTTTTGCTCGACAAAAATTTTTAGCCCGTGTTGGGTTTTTTTTTTGCTTGACCAAAATACCGCGTGTCTGGTATTTTTGAGGGGACCAGCTGGCAACCCTAGATCCATCTTCCGACAGTGGCCAATGCCAGGCGGTCCCAGAAGGAATGAACATATCTTCAATAAAAACATACGTGCTAAAGTCCTGTGCAGTTTGCCAGTTGTTGTCCTCTGTCCTTTCTGTCCACAACAAACTCCTCTAGTTCCATTCTGGGAAATGAACATTTTTGTTAAAAAGGGGTGACTTGGAGTAACCCATGTACTTATGAGGAAGATATCTCTTTAAGAGGCTCCTACGGGGAGGTAGGAGTGAATAGTGTCTGGGTCATTGTTGCTGGCCTGATTTAGCACTCCACACCCAGAAGCTTCTGGAATTGGGGGTGGTAGTTTGGGGTTTGCTCCAGTAAGGTCTGTGTCTGTGGCTGGGTCAGACTCCAGGAGCCTGCAGGCAGGGAAGCTGCTTTGCTAAGGCCCTCCAGCCCTGGGCGAGCTGGGAGAGGCAGAGCCAGGAGCAGAAAGCAGGCTGCTGTCCCTCACTCTGCCCCCCCCCCAGTGCTAATATTACCCCCCATCAGGAACTGGGGCTGTCTTAATTATAGCCAGGGGAAACTGGGAGGGAAAAAGAACTTTTCTGATGTAGCTGAACGTTGTTTTGATTTTAGCCAAACTGCTCTAGTTACTTTCTCTTCAGCTCCTCTTTAAATGTAGCCGTGGGGAGAAAGTCATTTCTAGTTTATCTCAGTTTTTGTAGTTTTTTGGAACAGGGTTTTCTCTACGTCTGTTCACTTGTCACGTAACTGGTTAATCAGTGAGCTGGCTGCCTAGCAGTGATCCACAGCAGCCAAAGAGGCTTCCTGGACTCCTAACTGAGGATCCCGACAAGCAAGTGGAGGAATGGTTCAGACTCGGCACATGGGGCAGACTTGTTGCTCAGAGGTAGGGTTACCAGGTAGGTTTAGAAAAAATACTAGACACACTTGATGGGGGTGGGGGGACCGGCCGGGAGGGGGGCGAGGAGAGCTTCCACCCCCAGAAGCCCGCAGAGCCAGCCCAGTCCTCCCCATCGGGGGCTCGTGCCCCATTCCTCCCTCACCTCCTTCCACTTACCCTTCCCTAGCCCCTCTTGTTGATGTACAAAATAAAGATAACGTTTCTTCCAACATTGACTCTGTCATTATTGAACAAAACTAGGGGAGACTGGAAAAGGAGGTGGGAGAGGGGAAGTGCGGTAGGAGTGGGGCTGGCCAGGGGAGATCGGGAGGAGGAGAACCAGCCGGCAGGAAGCAGGGGTGGCCGGTGGGGGGGAGCTAGGGACAGCGGAGCTGGTCGGGAAGAGTCGGGGGAAGCGGGGCACTGTTAGTCCCACGCACGGTCTGGAGAAGTGCGAGTGAGTCGGGCTGCAGCTCCACCACGCACTCAGGAGCAGGGACAGGGCTTCTCCTCATCCCCAAGATGTCAGATGCAGCCAGGGCTCCCAGCGCTGATCGCACCCCGCCTCCCAGCCACTCCCCCCGTCCCCGCCAGGCTTCCATCTGGTGCCCAGCCAGGGAACTAGAAAATACCGGACAATACAGGACATTGCACGTGTCTGGTATTTTCTGGATTTTTTCACTGGACAGAGGGCCCAAAAACCGGACTGTCTGGTAGAATACTGGACACCTGGCAACCCTAATCAGAGGCACCGTCTGAGACTTTGGTGAACTCAGTCTAAGCTATTGGGATCTCTAGGTTTCTTCTGGGTTTGGTTCCTTGTTCTACCACAGACTTTGTTCGTGACTTTTGTGACGTTTGCCTACTATGGTTTATAAAAGAAACAAAGCAGAGAAGAGCTGCTTAGGTCTATCAAAGACATGAGCAGGCGTATCAGAGAAAGAATAAGCTTTTGTTGTTAACTCTCACTAGGAGAGAAGAATCTAGAGGATTTTAAAGAGGAGAAAGTGAGTTGGCAAAAGGTGACAGGAAGGCAGCATGGTCCATTGGGAAAAGTCCTAGTGTGGGTGTCCCGACTTTGCCACAGACCTGCTGAGGGGCCCAGGTAACTCATTTCCTCTCTCTCTGCCTCATTTTCCCCACCTGTAAACCAGGAAGAGTGATAATGACCTTCCTTGGTAATTCACTGTAGGTCCTTGAATCTACCGATTCTTATCTGTAAGAACCAAGCACCATCACTCCATGGTTAGGAATGATCTTTTGTCAGGTCCCTGGAACTCACAAAGCTGTAGTTGAACCAGAAGTAATTGGCTATTTATCTAACAACATAGTGAGTTGAATTTGCTCTTGTAACTCACACCCACTCAGTCTGGTCTGTAGGGTTTTCAGCTTTCTAATGGCACAAAACCAAACTCCTTTGTCTCCTCCTTCCATCTCCCCTTCCCCCTGACTTTCACCAGGCTGGGGTGGGGGTTGGGGTGCAGGGAGGGGTATGGGCTTCAACTGCAGGTCTAGGCTCTGGAATGGGATGGGTGTGAGAGGAAGCTCAGGGTGCAGGTATTAGGGTGCAGGGGAGCATGAGGGCTCCACTTAGCTGGGTGCAGATTCTGGGATGGGTCTGGGGATGAGGGGCCAGTCCTAGTGGGGTCCTTTCCTCTAGTGGGGTCTGGGCCACATGGTGAAGTCAGTGAGCCTGCTTCATGCTCGGTCTTTCAGCTCAGGAAATAAGAGCTCCCGTGTTTACATCCAGAGGTCCCAGGCTTGGTCCCTGTTGCTGATGTCACCTCAAGGCTGTGACATTGGTATGATTCAGTGCACAGTGGATCCCTTCAAAGTCAGTTGTATTTTCACAGAATAACATCTCTCTGTGCAGAGAGACACTACAGCTGGCACATGATGAGGACCTGAAACAATCCAAGGCTACAGCTACACTGCAAGCAAAAGTGTAATTTGCAGATTGTGTAAACATACCAGGCAGTCCCTAAACTCTCTAGTTCACTAAAAATAGCCATTTTTAGGAGGATTTGGTAGCATGGGCTAGCAATGCCCAGGAGGACCAGTGCCGTCTACAGTAAGTGACACCACATCCTCCCCACTACATTTACTGAGCTTGCCAAATTGGGGTAGCTCAGTGGTTTGAGCATTGGCCTGTTAAACCTGCAGTTGTAAGCTCAATCCTTGAGGGAAGAGCATTTAGGGATCTGGGGCAATCTGTCAGTGATGATACTTGGTCTTGCTGTGAAGGCAGGGGACTGGACTTAATGACTGACTTTTTAGGGTCCCTTCCAGTTATATGAGAGAGGTATATCAACATATATGAAGCTAGTGCAGGCACATCTGCAAATTATGGTACCTTTTGTACTGTAGGTTTACCCTGGGATTTTAATTTGGATTCAGTATAAGGGAGTTTCATTGGTTTTTTTTAAACTACATTTTAGCTGTTTTGTGTGTAAGCAGGGGCTGAACTACTGCTTGTTATCAGCCAGCTAAGAGGAGAGAGCTGCCCTGGGCGTGGGTGTGCTCACTCCAATTGTTTAGCTCTGCAAGATAATTAACTGTTAACTGTTGATATGTAAATACAGCTCATGCCAGGAGGGGGCAGGCGACCAGCAGAGCGGCCAGTGGGAACAACCGGTGAGCGGCCGGTAGGAGCGGACCGAGACAGCTGGTGGAGTGTCGTGGAGTGGCTCACGTTAAAGACTGCAGCAGAACCCTACGGAGAGGTGGGGACGTCAGCCTCGGACCACGTAAGTTGCCCCTATCAATCCTCCCGCCCCCTTTCCGCCCAGGTTGGGAGGTAAAACCCTGCAGGTGAACTTTTAGACTCTGGGTGGCACTGACCAGGGACAGAGACTTTTGGGGTGTCGGACTTTGGGACTTCGGGTGATTCTTGGCTGGGGGGGGCCTTAGCTCGTGGTTTGGGCTATGAACTTTGTTTGTGGTATTTTCCTAAGTTAATGCCGTATGACCTCTCTCTGTTTCATTAAATGTTTCTTTCCTACACTCAGACTCTGTGCTTGCGAGTGAGGAAGCATTGCCTCTCAGAGGCGCCTAGGGGTGTGTGAATTTCCCAGGTTACTGGACGGGGGCTCGAGTCGGTTCTGTGTGAGATATTGAACCCGGCCCTGGTTACTGCCGGGCCTACCTGGCAGAAAGGTTACATGTGGAATCCCAGAGCCGTCACCCATGTTGTTACACCAGTTGATTCTATTGATATTATTCTGGATTTACACCCGTGCCCATGAAAACAGACAAAGGGCTTTGATCTTTCCACTCAAGACTGCTTATGTGCAGGTTTTGTGTTGCAGCAGATGATTGAAATATCCACTGCAAGAATACGGCTTTGCTCTCTGAACTGCAGCCCATTTAAGCAGCTTTAATGGTACCTGCTTTTGACGCAAGGGTCAAATCAAGGTCTTGGGAAACTCTCGTTGAAACAGCAAACTTCAGACTGGGTTATTGCAGTGCACTCTAACCTTGGAGAACACAGAAAGCTGTGTTCCAGCTTGCTCAGGAGAGTTAGCAGATTTATTAAGGCTTGACCCAAAGCCCATTTAAGTCAGTGTAAATATTCCTATGGAGGGGGGTGGCTGCATTGCCAAATAATGGTCTTGGAGCTTGGCAGGATCTTGGAAGGCTGGGGTCTGTTCCAAGCTCTGCCACTGACTCATTATGCCACCTTGGGCAAGTCACCTCACTTTTATTGCGCCAGTTTCCTCCTCTTTTGTCTGTTTTGTATATTTAAATTGAAAGGCCTTCAGAGCAAGGTCTCCCTCTACTTGTGTTTGTACAGAACCAACACCATTCTCTCTGGGGTCTTTAGCTTCCTATAGTAATATAAGAAGTAAGACAGGGCTTTGGCTCATGTTCAAATACATCATTGCACCAAAGAGTGCAAATCATGGCGTTCATATTGCTCGTATCAGCCTGCTCCAGCATTTCCAGGTCTAGCCCTTATGCCTTGTGTGATTGTAAGTCTGTTGGTGATAATCTCTCTCGCATGCTCGCCAAACAAGCGTGTGGAGCTCCCTAACAGCCCCTCATCCTGAGATCTGGGATCTGAGGCAGGATACATTCAGTGAAGTACTTTCATCTGTGAAATTTGCTTTGTAGCTCTCAAAGGTCCTCATCAAATGACCATGTGATGTCAATGGAAGTCTTCTTGTTAACATCAGTGGACTTTAGATCATGCCCTCCTCTTCTGCAGGTCATTCATACCATATCTCATGCCTTTTAGGCAAAGAAGACCTTTATTTCCTTGCTTATTTAACTCATGGTGGATACGGACAACCCATCCTCTTAGAAGATCTTAAAACCTGTAGATCAGAGTGTGCCTTTCTCTTCCTTCATTACAATCTTTGACACTTGAATGGATTAATGTTCCATCCTTTGCACTTTTTATTCTCTCTCTGTTCTCAGAAGCATAAGATATCAAAATTTTAATACCTAATATATTCTAGGAGCTCAGGAACTGAGCTGTATTATGTTGACCTTTTTAGTATTCAGTATTTTGATTATCTTGCCATCCTTCCCCTCCTTGCAGGTTAGGGAGCTGGTGAGCAGGAGAGGAACAGGCAGAACAAAAGCAACATAATAAATGGGTCAGGGTAGTACAACAAAACTACTACTGTAATTTACAAAATATATGATGCATTCTGGTGTTTGATAGATCACTTCTGTTTCCAGTGAGAATGTTGGCGAGGCAAATAGAAACGAAGAAGGAATGGATGCCAAACAGACTGCATTGCTGGAGGGAACTTGGAGAAGGGCACTGAAGTTGATGAAGGGGATGGAGAGCTTGACTTACAAGGGGCAAGATTAGAAGCACTAAATATGAATAGCTTGGTTAAATGAGGATTAAACTGAGGGGTATAATCATTGTCAGCGTGTACTTGAACAGAACAAGCACCAAGGAGGGAAAAGGGTTATTTAGTGTGCTCCAAGGAGATGTAACTAGGAGTAATGAGATGAAACAGGACAAAGGAAAAATCAAGAGGAAAAAGTCTGTGCAGAGCGCTGTGATTTAGATTGTGGGGTGGATTATGTATCCATACAAATGAGTAACAAAGGAGTAAGAAGAGTCCCCTGAACCTCGGTGTAGGCTTCTGCACCTGGAATCCTGAAGAGCAGGAGCAAGTGCAGGCTACAAGCCTGCTTATTCCCTTTCTGGAGCTGGTGAGCAGGAACCAGGAAGAGACTTCTTGGCCAGCATAGTATGGTAAAGGCTAGCCATACATTTTTCACTAGGTGGCTGGTGAAGCACTGGGATGGGTTACCTGGGGAGATTGTAGAAACTCCATCCTTAGAGAGTTTGAAGTCTAAGCTTGACAAAGCCCTGGATGGGATAATTTAGTTGGGATTGGTCCTGGTTTTCGCAAGGGGTTGAACTTGGTGACCTCCTCAGGACTCTTCCAACCATATGATTCTGTGACTCTAAATTACTCCTCTTCTGTAGAGCAAGGAGTTTCCCCTCGGGAGGTAGCGGACATCACTTAGGAAACATAATGACATGTCTGTGCCACTGGAGATTCTATGCTGAGCTGATCCAGGCCAGCTAAGCCAGCATTTGCATCTCTTTCTATGGCTTAGGCCAATACCATTATCTTGTTCTTCCTAGAGATTTTGATGCCCTCCTCCAAGTAAGCTTCTGCTCTGACAACTGCTCTCAATTTCCCTTCCTTTACTGTAACCTTACATTTTCCCCATTTGGCCTACCTTGTTTCTTCCTGACCAACAGTTGTATGATTCACAGATAGTTTTAGACTAACTTTTCTGCCTGATGGAACATGAATCTTCGATCAGTCAGGAGTTTTGGACTCTGATTGAAAGATCAACTCCTCTGTATTAAGTGGAGTCCAGACCAACTGCTAAATAGCAAGTTGGGTAAGGATTATCTTGAGTATTACAGAGTGCATTTCAGCACTTGTAGATATAAGTCGTGTATCTGGGGGACATTTCTGTGATAGACACACGCACACAACTGCTGTAAAATACTTGTGTGTGATGATGTTGTTATCTGGAGAGTAGGTGGGAGTTGGATTTGTTGGTGGTGTATGATATTTAATTGAAATATTGGTGGACAGAAATGTAATGAACTGCCTCGATAGATGTTCCTTTCTACTTCCGTGCATGTCAATATCCTAGGCCTTATTTTGAACTGCAACTAATTTTACACAACTGGAGCGCATCTGACTCATGAATGCTTGGATTATATATTGGTGTAAAGGAGAGCTGATTCTAGCCAAAAGAGTCAAACGCTAATTCAACCAGTGTTCACTTTTGGTGCTGAAGATATTGTCCTGACGGGTGAAAGTGTGGCTCCCATTGATTTTACGTATACCATTGATAGCTGCCTCCTGCTCTCTCTGGGGTGTCCCCAGATCATGATTCAAAAGCTTTTTCAATTTTGCTCTTTGAAGAAAGTCTTAAATCGTTTTGTAAGAGCTCCAGGATGCTCTAGGCCAGAACCCCATCTGATATAAACTAGCCCCATTGACGAAGAGTAACGGTAGTTCGAACTAGGAAGCCTAGTTCAAACTACCTAGTTCGTGCCGCGTGTAGCCGCGCGGCACGGGGTTCGAACCAGCGGGGATTTAAAAATGGCGGCGCCCCGCTTATGCAAATGAAGCCCGGGAAATTCAAATCCCGGGCTTCATTTGCAATTGCAGTATGCCTACATTACCCTCCTATTTCGAAATAGGAGGGTAGTGTAGACATACCCTGAGTTAGGGCTGGTAGAACATACAGGCTGTGTCTAGACTGGCAAGATTTTGCGCAAATACTTTTAACGGAAAAGATTTTCCGTTAAAAGTATTTGCGCAAGAGAGCGTCTATACTGGCATGTGTGTTGCGCAAAAGCAGTCGCTTTTGCACAAAAGCATCCGTGCCAGCGTAGATGCTCTCTTGTGCAAGAAAGCTCCGATGGCCATTTTAGCCATCGGGCTTTCTTGCGCAAGAAATTAACTTGGCTGTCTACACTGGAACTCTTGTGCAAGAATACTTGCGCAAGAGGGCTTATCCCTGAGCGGGTGCGTCAGAGTATTTGCGCAAGAACCACTGATTTTGTACAGTACAAAGTCAGCGTTCTTGTGCAAATACTCGCGGCCAGTGTAGACAGGCGGGCAGG